GATGAGAAGATATATTCTGCATTTATTGAATGAAATATTTTGTAAAAGTCCATTTGGTTTAGAGTTCAGTTTAAATCCAATGTTTCTGTGCTAATTTTGTCTAGATGATCTGTCCGCCAAGATTTGATTTGTGGCCTCACATGTGTTCTATCCTGCAGAATGATCCATGTGCTGATGAGAAGATATATTCTGCATTTATTGAATGAAATATTTTGTAAAAGTCCACTTGGTTTAGAGTTCAGTTTAAATCCAATGTTTCTGTGCTAATTTTGTCTAGATGATCTGTCCAATGCTAGGAAGGGGTGTTGGATTCTCCAATTATTATTGTATTGCGTTCTATGTCTCCCTTTGGATCTAGTAATAATTATTTTATACATCTGGGTACTCCAGTGTTGGTACATATATATTAATGATTGTTATATACTCTTGCTGAATTGATCCCTTTATTATTATATAATGTCCTTCTTTGTCTCCTTTTATAATTTTTGGCTTAAAATATATTTTATCTGATATAGGTATAGCTACTCCTGCTCATTTTTGGTTTTCATTTGTGTGGAATATCTTTTTCTATCCCTTCCCTATTCGTCTATGTGTGTCTTCATTGGTGAAGTGAACTACTTGAAGGTAGCATATAGTTGGACCTAATTTTTAAATCCATTCAGCCACTCTATATCTTTTTAGTGGGGAATTTAAATCACTTATGTTCAGGGATGTTATTGAAAGTTATTGTCTTACTTCTGCCATTTTAATAATTTTTTGTGGTTGTTTTATATTTCTTTTGTTCCTTTTTTTCTCTTTTTATATATCATTGCTGTTGGTGTTTCTTATAGTGATAAGATAAAGTTTCTTTCTCTTTCTTATTTGTGTATCTGCTCTACTAGTGGGTTTTATTCTTTCCCATGTATTCATGGTGGTAGTTATTGCTATTTTGATTCCAGATATAGGACTTCTTTGAGGATTTTTTTCTAGGATCTTGTAGTGGTGAGTTTCCACAGTTTTTATTTGTCTGGGAAAGAATTTCTCCTTCATTTCTGAAGGATAACTTTGCTGTGTATACTATTCTTGGCTGGCAGTTTTTTTCTTTTAGCACTTTGGATAGATCATCTCACTCTCTCCTGGCCCATATGGTTTCTGTTGAAAAGTCTGCTGTTAGTCTGGTGGGAATTCCCTTATAGATGACTTGATGCTTTTCACTTGTGGTTTTTAGTATTCTCTCTTTATCTTTGACTTTTGACAGTTTAATAATAATATGTCTTGGGTTGAATCTGTTTGGGGATCTTTGGGCCTCTTTGATCTGGAAAATCATATCTTTTCCAAAACTTGGGAAGTTTTCAGTTATTATTTCATTCAACAGTATTTCGATGCCTTTTCCTTTCTCTTCTCTTATCAGAACGCCCATGATATGGATGTTTGTGTGCTTAAGGTTGTCTAAAGATCTTGTAGGCTTTCTTCATTTTAAAAATTCTTATTCATTTTCTTTGGTACAACTTGGTTAATTCAAAAAGGCTGTCTTCAAGTTTAAAAATTCTTTTTTTCCAATTGTCCTAGCCTGTTGCTTAAATTCTCGGTTGTGTTTTTTATTTTGATGAATTAATTTTTTAGTTTCAGGATTTCTGCTTGATTCTTTTTAATGATATCTATCTCTTTGCTGAATTGCTCCTTCATTTCCTGGG